AATTTCTAATAATAAAAAATTTCTAGGGAGACGAGGGCGGCCCATTGGTGTGCGATGACCGAATAGTTGGCATATATAGTCGTCCCGTCGCTAGGAAGCAAGAAAGTTCTAACCATACAGCCCCTCCAGTTACTTTTATGAAGGTTTCTTCATATTACGACTTTATTAAACAGGCCATAGCTTCCACAAATGAGGAATAATATTATTCGTCAGGAAAGCTGGGTAATCTGAGTTAAATTACTTTATAATTATTATGGACCTATTTTGATTGATAACTTTATTGTAACCTTAATTTGTCTTCTTCGAACGAAGCAGACTCAATAAAAGAAATCACACTCGTAGTCTGTACGATTTTCATGATCTTCCCAATCCTGCGTTGGATGTGAATGAAAAAAAAATGAAAATGGGCTTGTACACTGATAAGAATGATATTATTGATAAATAGTATAGGCATGTATGCTGATAAACACAACTATAATTATTGCCAAAAAAAATAATTTGACTGAAGACCGGGCTCTTTGTGTTGAAAATAATGAAATGTCTAAGGACGTCTTTAGACTCGTCGTATAAAAGAGAGAATGATAAACTCTTTAACGTTTTATATTGAATTAATTAGGGTTAACATCTGGCATGGATTACGCCCATTTGGAAAGCCACAGAACGTCATGCGGAGATCAGTGGAATAAATATCTTCGAATTATTAAAAATTATTAAGGTGTTGTGTAAAGAGGGACATCAATTACTTCCACGTTGCGATAAAAGTAGTTAAACATATCAGTAATTTCCAGAGTCTGAGAATCTTGTTGTAAGACATGAAAAGAAGATATAAAAGACATAAAATAATTCTTTATTATCATTTATACCTCGAATTATATCTCACTTTATGAATTACTATTTTGAATGCTCATTAGTAACATAATAAATACAATTATACACTTATTCAATAATGAAGAAAAATACCACGTATCGAACAAAAATAATTAATTCAGCATGGTGTGTCGATCGTAGATATTTCGTCGTTGCTCTCGCACTTGTCTCTTCCATTTGTCCTGTTGATGGCCAACACGATTCAACACATTTGATCTCACACCCATTTGATGGGACGAGGTCCCAGGAGCTGCGGATATTGTTTCATCCTAAAAAAAATATGGAAACGATAAAATATTCGAAACTGAAATGATCGTTAGTTATCCAATGAGAATAATAATCATTAATTTAAAAAATTCAATGATAAAATAGTTTATTCACATCTTCATTCGTGTGCTCAAGATATCCGGCACCTCCAGTATTTTTTCTGATTCGTTTGTTCAATAGTGGCTCGAGGCAAATCAAGAACAGCATGTAAATCACGAGCAGCGAAATTACCCAAATTACAATAATTACGACAATCTGAAAAAAAGGAGTTTTCATTAACGTCAGATTTTTTATTCATAATGCAATTAACTACTGAAGTGATGAAGCAGCTGTACCAGAGATCTGATGGGAAAATACTGAAGCATTTTAATATATTAGAAATGACTATGTTCATTAACTTAGGAATAATCATGTTTTGTAATTTCCCATTTCAAGTTTCATCTCGTACCTTGATTATCGTAGTGTTACGATTCTCATATTTACATTCGCATCGAGGACAGAAAATGAGTTCTTGTCCATTCAGTTGATCTTTAATCTGGGGAAGAATGACTTTCTCACAATTGCTGAAACATATTTATCAATTTCAAGTTCATACCCAGAAAATGAGTAATCAACTATCAAAATACCTTCTCTATACCCTAACAAATACGACTAATTATCTCACCAATTGGATGGAGGAACATTGGATATAAAATTGCGACGTTCGGTCGAGGGATTAGTGGTGTTTATCACCGAGGCGATACTTGGACAGATGCACTTGCAGCGTTTATCATCATACGACTGTGCACTCTGTAAAGCAAGCATCGAATGTTTAAAAAAATATTAAGGATAAAAAAAACAATAAAAGGCCCACCCACCCGACACTCAGTGAAGTACACGAGTGCAAGGATAACCAAAACTCCTCTGCACTTCCACATAATCAGAACACCTGAAGAAATATCACTCCAAAAGTACTTGAAAATCCTCAACCATAAAAAGTCGAATTAAAATCTTTGGGATGAATAACAGTAGCTTTCAGGTGTTATCACATGTTATGCACTTGATTTCGTATGTTACGAGCTACAGTGTACGTCAAATTCGTCTGACGATGCTGATGTAGAACGTATACAACTGCCAGAATGTTTTTACGGCAATTTTTTGACGGCCATTGGGCGCCAGCGGCGCTCGTGGTGCGACTCATCGAATTTCCATCGATATATCGAATGACAAAGTGGCGGGGTTTGAACTAACCAATCGTCAGAGATTCATTACCTTACCATTTTTTCATTCAAACTCAGCGCCGAATTGTCAAAAGCCGACGTTTTCCGTTCTATTAGATACTTCTTCTTTAATTCACATTACCTGGAAAAAAATATAAGAAGTTAAAGAAAAACCAAACGTTTATCATTCTACGAAAGTAAAATAATCATTTGGCAGAGTGATAACACCAGTGATAATGAATATTCGCTGCTACTTTCACTGAAAATTTATAAAAATCTAGAATTGACTGGTAAATTATCATAAGCTTCCTAGATGCTTCGTGACTTTCTGGGGAACACTTGAATGAAATATTAACATCTTCCACGAATTCTTATTACCGATTACTTTACTCACAGATTATTAATGCTAAAGATTGCTTAACAATTCAGCGAAAACTATTCAACAATGTTAGAAAACTCCAGTGACGCATGTCTTTGCATATTAACATTTCCCATAAAACGTATTTTTTAAGCAGAAAAAGAAAATTTTATGTCCAAGACGTGAGTTCGGCATCTTCTTCCTTAATATTATCTGATTAAATGACTACAAATACTATGGCATTCCCATCAGGACCTCAAAAGTGTTAATAAACTGTTAAGTGCTACTCGTATTCCAAAATGTCCCCTCTAATAACTGGTTCATTACTTATTCTTACAGCAATTGTTCACCGTGAGTGAAGTAATTTTAAATTATTGAGTATCATTAAGCGAAATAATCTTGATACTCTGCAGATGGAGATGCTGTAATCAATGGAAAGATCGCTCCACACGGTTTTGACTACCTGGTCAAGATACACTATCCAAATCATGATATCAAATGGTCTTCAGGTGTCATTGTCAGTAGGAAACACATCCTTACAAGTGCCGATTGCGTTTATGATAGAAACCGCGACTACTTTGTCATTATAGCTGAGAGACTTACTGCCACGACACAGATTCGGTTTCTGAACAAAATTATTATACATCCCGACTACACGCCGTTTCAGAGATCTCTTGAGGGCTACGCTACAAAGAAACATGATGTTGCAGTTCTTCAGGTATTGCATAGTACATACAATTATTGTAGGTGACAGACAACCAGGAATATTCGGATAGAATATCACAATTTCAGATATTTCTTGTAATTTCATATAATCCAATATCTGCTGACCAAATCAGAAAAATTTCACAGCTCAAATTAACGATAAAAATTATCATTTAAAAGTCAGAAATTTTCTGATTTCATCCTCTGGATAGTATGCAGTTATTACTATTGAGCCGTTACCTAAACCCGACAAATTTCCAACATTTTAGATAAAGAAACCCCTAAAATTCGGGCTATTTCATAGAATGCCGAAGTTACTAAAACCAGACCAAACAGTTTCGTCGAGATGCAGCTTTGCTGGATGGGGTGTTGTTGATCAGCAGTCGGACGTACATACCTATAAAACCTTGCATAAATGTTCTCTTAAGATCCTATCACCTGCCCAATGCGAGGAGTTATTCACAAAAAATAGACCAGCAGAACTTTGTGCCAAAGATCCTGAAGGCATAGCCTTCCCAGGGCGGGTACGAATCCAATGTACATTTGCCTTACAATCAATTTCTAATAATAAAAAATTTCTAGGGAGACGAGGGCGGCCCATTGGTGTGCGATGACCGAATAGTTGGCATATATAGTCGTCCCGTCGCTAGGGCGCAAGAAAGTTCTAACCATCCAGCCCCTCCAGTTACTTTTATGAAGGTTTCTTCGTATTACGACTTTATTACACAGGCCATAGTTTCCACAAATGAGGAATAATATTATTCGTCAGGAAAGCTGGGTAATCTGAGTCAAATTACTTTATAATTATTATGGACCTATTTTGATTGATAACTTTAATGTAACCTTAATTTGTCTTCTTCGGACGAACGAAGCAGACTCAATAAAAGAAATCATACTCGTAGTCTGTACGATTTTCATGATCTTCCAAATCCTGCGTTGGATGTGAATGAAAAAAAAATGAAACTGGGCTTGTACACTAATAAGAATGATATTATTGATAAATAGTATAAGCATGTATGCTGATAAACACAACTATAATTATTACCAAAAAAAATAATTTGACTGAAGACCGGGCTCTTTGTGTTGCAAATAATGAAATGTCTAAGGACGTCTTTGGACTCGTATAAAAGAGAGAATGATAAACTCGAAGGAATACTTTGAGGTGAGCACAGTTGTTTTTAATACAGAAAAAAATAGCATATACACTGAATAATATAGTTACAATTGTTTAATAAGTGCTACACGTATTTACATAATTGTACAGTCTACCTCGTCAATTACAGTATAATTTGAATGAATTTCCAAAGAGGCCAATGCACGTAATTTGTATTTCTCCGGATCTTCTTTCTACCTTTGGCTTTGCGTGCGCTCTTGGAAACGCGTACAATCGCTCCTTCAGAGGACTAGGCTTTATTTTATCAATTGCAATTAGTTGGATTATTCTGAAATAGATTCTTTTGCTTTGTCGGACATATAAAAGCTTTCGAATGCTTTGATTCTTTCATTTTGCTGCATCAGCATGTGAATGGACAGTTATCAATTCCAGATTGGTTTAGGCACATTATTTACCTTCGGATTGGACCGATGGTCAATGCAGAAAGCTGGTTCCAATCTCGTAAAGCTAATTTCATCAAGTCAATTCGATGTTTGAAATTCCCTCCGCAATTAAAGAATACGTGTTGTTATTTTTATTTAATTAACCCCCGAAGAGGGAGAAGGTTCCACAAGTTTCCAAATTCTCTCGAGTGCCTAATTGTTCTCGAATTTCCCAGAAAATTATGGAATGTTCCTCAGAGAAAAAAATCTATTTACTCGGTAATAATTGAAATTACAAGACCTTTTGAGAAAACTTGTGAACGTTTAACCAGTCATTAAACAGATCATTCCCATTTCCATCGGGAATCAATTCCTCGCTATTTACGGAACTTTCTTTTGCGGAACGTTCCACGGAAAATCGGTAAGATTCAATTTATTTCTAAAGAATTCGAGAAATCAGTGTTTCTTTAGAAAATTCGAGGAACTCTCGGTGCATTGCGAGAGGAATTAAAAATCTTGGAAAAATACAGAACCTTCTAAAAAACCTTAGAAAATTTTAGAATACTGCAGGTGATTGTTGCTGATAATATATATAACGAGTCCCTCAAATTTACGATATATATATATAAAATAGATGAACTTGAACTCTGTCTATTCAATCGGCTGGATTGTTCGAATAAAATACGGCTCGTACTTATTGCAATTGGAGGATTATCATTCATCCAATATCCACTTTCATTAATTTATATTCATGTCATTAACAATTTTTTATGATCACCGATTCACCTCGAAAACTATAAATTGAAGGTGAAAAGACTTTTCTTGTCACTATTCAATTTTCGGCAAGAAAATGTGCTCGTTAAATCCATTGACACCGCACAGTACTTCCCATTGCTTCGCTATTAAATTACAGAAATTCGCGCATTAATCGGAATAGGACTGAACCTTAGCAGGGACAGGGCAGTGAAGGACAACTTCAATTTTAGCCTACAAACGCAGCGGAAAAAGGACAATTTGGGAAAGTGCCTCATCTAAATTTCACTCAACATGAGTAAAGTAGCAGCAGAAAAGCCGCTCAATAAAAGGAGCGAGAGTCCACCATTAAAACGACGAAAGTCAGGCCAAAGAGCGTCGTCAATGAGCATTCATTGCAACTGATGTTAATATTATTTGTTAACGATTTGTTAAGACGATCTCGACTCCAAGTCGACTAGAAGTGCCCAGCACATTCTTATCCGATTTGGTACCGCACAGCAATTGCGCTCGTACAACATTGACAAGTTAAATAACATTGAGACACGGTCAATACCGTTATCCTTCAATTCAAAATAATTATCGCAGTCCCTCTCAATTTTCATTCGTTAAAGTGAAAAATATATTCTCGCGTTTATAAAATTTACAATATCACGAATATTTGCATTTCTCTCTCGTATAACTTGGTCGTATAAATCATTGAAAAATATCCTCTCGATACTGCATATTTCTACAGCCAGTTTATCTTTGATAGCATTCCTCTGCTGTCCAGTGAATAAAAAAAAAAATCAACTAGCTCACACTCCTGGGAGACGGGCAGTCAATCCCTAAAATAATCTGTTGATTCGTACAAAACTGAAATGCAGTACGAATTACTTATTTTCTCTCTTAATACAGTCTTGGCAATTCCTCCGTAATTCCTTCACTTGGAAAAAAAAAATTCCAATCGATTAATTCATTAAAATAATGCCGGCTAAACCGAATACTTGGTGTCCTCCTTCTTGATTGGTGATAATCGTAGGCCCTTTGATAACACTTGAGCCTCGAGTTCCTTGTCTTCGTCTTTATACCTGCAATCACATTATTTTTATCCGCTCTTATTAATCCAGTCAATTACATAAAATGCAGTTCAAAGCATAATTACGCCCCTCGTCGCTCATATTTTATCATTACAATAGCTCTCTCTGTGCATTAAAACATTGTAATTAACGTTTTTTAGAAGTCTTACCATTCCCGTTAAAAATATTTCACTCAAGTGCATGACGTTCTCGCATTACAAAGCGAAGCCGTGCCGTACGATTCCTCTTTGCCCATAACAAAATAATGCCATATTCAAGGGTATGTATTTTTGATATGTATATGCTTGATAAATGCCACATGTTTACATTAACCATATCATAAAGAATCTTAATACAGAATCCAATTTCGTCACGATGACGAAAATTCCATAAAAAATACTCATAAATCATTGGCAGAAAAAATTCACAATAATTTTGAGTCATGCGTCGACAGACATGCATGATTCTCCAGGTTCATGATTTATACAAATTTTCTATTATCGTCGGTTCCGAGAAAAAAACATCACAAATAAAAGATAAAGATGAGGAAGAGCGATAATTTTACATGCAATTACTCCAGAATTTTTGTGTGTCCATCACCTCGAGAGATCGGGGGTTGGAGGATGTCGCTAGGAAAATGAGACAAAGTGATCTACAAGATGAATAAATGTGGTGAATGCAACTAGGACAACGAGCAAAGCGAAAATTGGTGAGGTGAGGATGGATAATGGTGTATGGGTGTTAATGATTTGTATTGTTGTGCTATAAGGTGCAATGAGTGTTGGGCACGAGGGTCTACGCCACCTTTGTCGTTCGTCCTCCAGCAGGGCTATCAAGGAGTCGCGTTTTGCCACAATCTCCAACATTTCTGTTAGTATTTCTCCCTCTTTCTTGACGTCGTCGTTTGTCTTGTTCTTATCTGAAAAATTGGCAGAATGATCGTCAAACGTTCCTCCTCTCAGTACAGAAAAAAATAACAGACTCAAGAGAATAGCTTATATAAAGGGAATTTCTCCGAGAAAGCGCAAGGTTTTTTTATAAATTTTTTATCTCTCCGTGAAGCGATACAAATGGGGAAGAGAAATTGGGAAAATCTTGAGAACTCACCGTCGTCAGCCAATCTCTCACGTAACTCTTGCTCTAATCTCTCGTGTCGATCTTCCAGCTGTACTTCTTGGGCACGAACCAACAGTTCCTTCTCGTATCTGCGTAGCTCAGTGCGCTCTCTCATCAGATCAAAAAATTCACGGAGAAGATCCGCCTCCTCTCGACCTGAACACTCTAAAATTTCGATTGTGAAGTGTCAGTTAGGCATTAACTATTTTATGGGTTTCGATCGATCGATTGGTTTTACATAATTACCTCCTTCGCCGTTGAGAGCTTTCTCCACGATGACCCCACGACTCTCCAGGTCCCTCTGCTTCACCTCTGTCTCCTCCAGCTTCCTCTGAATCTCCTGTGCCATTCTCAATCTCTTCTGTCTAACTAATTTCTTCGTGTTCCTCACTTTGCGTGATATACTGCTGCATGACCCATCCATCAAGGTGTTCCTCTGCATCTGGGACGTGAGTGCTGCAGTTTTTGAATCTTCATCCGACAAACTGTCGTCTGATATATGAGTTGTTGATAATGAGTAATTGAGAGGTGGAGGAGGGACTGGAGGTGAAGTCTCCAGCAGATAATGCTCTATCAACATTCCCTCGCAGGCACTTTTCGGTCTGGTTTCCGATTTTTGGGTGATTTTGTCCAGCTGCAAGTAAATTGATTAATTATCGATCAATTTTCGCTCCTCAAACTAAAATAAACAACATAGTACAAAAAAATCAAATCCGACTTATTCCACAATTTTCTTCGAGACCAATTTTCAAGGAAAGTGCCAAATAATTTTCAACAACCCCAAAAAAAGCTGCTTTGCCCAAAGTAAACAAAATGAAAACCAAAGCACAAATTCTCTACAATTAATCAGTAATTGCTTACATCGAACCCTTCGGAGTAAGACCTACGCAGCTGTAACATTTCAATAAAAATTAGAATAGCGACGACCTTTCCCACGACCACGAAACCCTACCTTAGCTTTCTCTTTCGCCTTAGAAGTCAGCCTGAACACAGATCCCCTGTCCTTATGAGTGGGCGAAGGAGTGGTTTCCTTCTTCTTGAAGAAATCAGAGACAGCCTGAATGATGCTCTTCCTCCTCTCAGGATCCTTCGTCTTCTTCTTATCCCGTCTTAAAACAACACTATCACTCTCAGGCTTGATCTCAACCCGCTTGGCATGAGCGAGCTCATCCATAGACTTGCAACTGGTGGCATGAGCAAAATCAATGGTCATCTTCTTCGAAATGGCTTTGACATTGTCTGTGCTCTTGCTAGGCTGGAGTTTGCCACCAGTTTTGTGAATTGTGAAACTGTAATGACGAGTTTTTGTCTCGTTATTCGCATACTCCTCAGTCCTGGCGCGTTCCTCCACGGACAATTGCCTCCTGGGCACCTTCATCCGCAACAGTCTGATCTTATCCTCAGGACTGAGACCGAGATCCTCATCGCTCTTGAGTCTGGCCCTCTCCCTAGCCTCCTGCTTACACTTCTCCGCAGTTCTTCTCGCCTCTTCGTGCTTCAGCCTCGGTGGTGCCACTGGTGTCTTAAAGGGATCATATCTTTCCTCGCTAATTGGCAGTGTCTTCTTAATCTCACCAAATTGCTTGGTCTCCACTGGGACAAGTGCATCGAGACACTTTTCACCCTCTGCTAACGTGCGAATTGGAGTGGTGACTGGGGTGATTGATCCAGGTACCGAGGGTGTACTGCACTTGGGGGAAAACAGTGATATTCCCGAATTGAAGGATGCTGTCCTCGCTGCCCTCTTCGCCTTCTTCTCAGCTGACTTCTGCTTTTGGGCCTCGATCTTATCCATCAATAGATCCTGAATGAGATTTTTCTGTTTTGAACGCTCTCGAGTCAACTCCTCAAGTTTTCTCGATGTTGCTGGTGAGTTGTAATTCGCATTCAACACCTCTTGATTTCTGATCTCCTCTGCAATCATCTCAGCCGAGCGATCTGGCATTGCGTTCTTTGATGTTTTTCGTTTGGACTTCCTCACGTCGATGGAGTCCTTCACGTTGGAGAACTCAGCAATTCGCGACTGGAGGCGTTTCACGTACTCCAGATAATCCGGATTATTTATATCCGCAGTGTCACACCTAGAGGGTTCTCTGGCCTCAGGTACAATTGGAGGCAGTGGACAGACTGGACTAGCTTTGATTGTCGTAAGTTCACTCGTAGTGGTGTCCTCAGTCTGCTCTATCACCAGAAGACTGTCCTCATCCATCGATTGGATCATCTCTCGATTGACCGCCTCGACAACACCTTCCTTCCGCTCCTTATCGATGCACTTAGCATTCGATAATCTGTCCTTTATGTCCTCCATCGTCACTGGATTTATCTCGATTACATTCTCGTACTTGTCGTACTGATACTTCTCATCATCGGATATTAATTCTGATTCAGCCTCAGCCCTGGCAATCGGTGCATCATTCATCTGCTTCACTCCCAACTTCGGGATATCTGAGACGTCCACAAACTCCACGTATCCTCGATTTTTCACTAATGGAATGTTCGCTGTGTCTCTCAAACTGTCTAACAACGACTCATTATCGGTATCCATGTAATCAATATCTTCTCCATTAGCGAGAAGCTTGGAGGTGTCATTGCTTGGAAAGTTGAGCGCCTTTTTAGAGTAATTCTCGGACAACTGCTCGACGTCTGTCAAATCCTCCTCCTTAGCGATTCTCGCAGTGCCCTCGTAATTGAACTTGAATTTGGGCTTCTTCGATGATAAACTCATGTCGAATTCTGCGTCCTTCAAATCAACCGAGACGAGAGCATCGCCATCCCTAGCCCACTCTGAGAATTCGGTCTCAGTCAAGGCTGCGGTTGTCACGTCGTTCTCGAAGGAGTCGTCGTGCTTTGATATACTGGAGGCAACGGATGTAGGACTGCTGCAGTTGCTCACCTGTTGATGGGTCTCTGTGAGATCTAATCGTTTCAGTCTCTCGCTAATTGGCTCGATTTCCACGGTGGGAGTAACCTGGTTATCGTTTGGTAAAGGCCTTGCCCAAGGGTCAGAGCTCTTATCGATTCTCTCGGATTTCTCCTCACTGGCGTTCAAAATACACTCGATTGAGTCCGGCTCGAAGGTCATCCCGTCCTCTGGTTCTCTGTATCTTTCCACCTCTTCGTCGAGGAGCAGATCCCCGTCTGTACTGTGAATCTGCAGTCTGGGGGGCGATAGCTTTCCCCTGATCTTCTTGTCCTCCTCGTTCACATCTGTCTCACTCGAGGACAACGAGTCGGAGTCCATTTCCGAGTCCTCAGTTGTCTCGTCCTCGTCCTCGTCTTCGTTCTTATCCTTAGCCTTGGACCAGTCCACCTGGGGAACAACGATAGAGGTCTCGTGCAGAGGACTCCTAGGACGACAGTCCCCGTTCTCCTCGGTCCCCTCTCGAGTCTTCAAATCCTCAAGCATCTCATCCAGGATCTTGTCCAGGATTTTCTTCTTCTCTCCACGTTCATCAATCTCCGTCTCATCGTTCTTCATTTTTGTCTGGTCATTGGCTTCAGGGGCTTTGGCGTAGGAGAGAATTCTTGTTCTGAGGATATTAGGATCTGTCTTGGACTTCATGAGGTTGGTCTCCTTAATCAAATCGGGGAGAGGAGTTTTCGGAGTCTCAAGGTCTTTGGGTTTTTCCAAGGAGATCAATTGGTTTGACCTCGTGGAAATAGGAGAGTGGGGGACGTTAGGAATGTTGGAGGCTGTTCGGAATTTGTTGGTACCCTGGAGAAAGGCCTGCATCGTGGGACTGGGCACTGGGGCGGGGTTCAGGAGCTTCTGGTGTTGAGATATTGAGTCTGTGAAATTTCGGAGCTTTGTATCGACATTTGACGCCGATCCGGATTTTATGACGCTCCCTCCGAGGGCTGAGCCACCCAGGAGGTACTTCTTCTTGAGTTCCAGGGAGAGCTTCGAGGCGATACCCTCGGTTGAGTGCGTTCGATTGAGCAGATAGTCCCCTTTTCTTGGGTTTATCAGAGGCATTGGAGTCAGTGTCGTTGGTCGAGCCACAGTTTTACTCACGTTCTCCACGTTTGTTCGGATTGTCGGACTGCTGGATTGATTCTTCACGTTTCCATTCACCGGCGATATTATCCGACTCTTTACTTGGACTCTCTTTGGCTCAACGTATTGTCCACGCGTTTTTCTCACGAAACAATCGTTGATCGTTATCTCTGGTATCTCATGCTGCGTTGGTGTTGTACCGTCATGCTCAAATTCAGAATCTGTCGATATCTCGGTTGCTGAATTCTCCTGGCACTCTTCACTCGATGATTTATCCGAGGCAACCTGTCAAGGAAATCAATATTGATTCATGGATTCTTTTAAAAATTATTGGAATCCTGAAGTCAATGTGTAAAACGGAGGCATTTAATTTTTCACATTTTGAATATCGAGTTCGATCCATTAGATCTCAACAGTTTGTCATTTTAGAAGAAAATTTCAATAATTGGAAAGAGAAAAATAGAACACTCAAAGTTTTACTCTTGTCTTCAGATTTTGTTCAGGCGATTATTGCGAAAACAGACACCCGTGTCGTGTTACGTGTTTTGTGATTGAAACGATAAGTTTTCTAATAACGATAAACAGGTGAGATATTAGACAATTACTTCAATTGAAATTCACACCTCAGCGACCAGATTAGACATTTTCTTTCTGGGAATAATTAACGAAAAACGGAAAACGTAATTTATGTGAGATTTTAAGCACTGGGAGTTCACGCACTATTAATTCCAGACTCTTTGACCCTTCGATTTTTACACAGTTAATTCTGTTAATCAACACACCACACCATTCTCATATGATAAAATTTGATCGTTACCTTCATTGTCTTCGGAATGTCCTAGGTTCGTTATAATTTCACTACCAGCTTCTCTTTTTTTTTTTATTTCGAGTAAAATTTATTTGTTTTTCGATATTTTCATTGAAAGATATTTTGAAACTTTATTAAATAATATCTCACACATTTTTATCGTTATGAGAAAATCATCGGTATGGATATTCATACGTGCGTTTACATAGTTACAGATTCATTCGAGCTCCATTCCATTTTTTTTACTGCATAGACGGGCTAATGGGGATGTTCGTCACGATATTGTGCATTTTTCTTTTTTCTGGGCCTCCTGATCGGCTTTTTGTGACTTTTTGCCGGATTTTCCGAATTTTAGGGAGGATATTGAACGGTGGGATTGACCTTTTCGAAGAAAATTGTCCGAGCTCGAGTCGATCTCAGTTTGCAAAGTATTTAGGGGATTATTTAGCTCCTGAGGGATGCGTTTTCTGTCTGGTCGCTTGGGTAATTCATCTTCAGAAATAGAGATACGTTCTTTTGGAAGGATTATCTCTTTTTCAACTACTGAAACTCTTTTAATGGGCTCTGGATTAGTTGAGATTTCGGGTTTTTGTGATTTCGAGAAACTGTGCTTTTTGAATAGTTCGATTTTTCGAGGTTTTGCGACAGTAATTTCCTTACTCATAACTTCAACATTCTCAGGCAGATCTTTTTCTCGTTTTGTGGGGGATTTTACTGAGACGGTCTCGGGATTAATCGAGCGATTTATCCCCGGAGATTTGGCAATTGATTCTTTCTTATCAACGAGATCGACGGAAGTTGACTGAAAATATTTCATCAGATCTTTGGAGTTTATTCTGTTGGAGATGTGAGCCTTTAGCTCGACTTCATTATGAGGTCTGTAGTCAGAGACTGAGGCAGACAGAGATTCTCCAGTTCCAGAAGTTTCTGGTACGGATGAAACGAACGCTTGCTCAGGGCTCTTTGACTTGCTCTGTCGACCAGAACAGAAACTCTCAGGGCTATTTGATTTCTCAGATCTACTCCCGGATTGGAGCTCCAGACTAGACTTCTCCAGTCTCATTGCCTCAAAGTACTCATTCATTTTGGATCGCGCTGTCTCTCTGGACAGAGGTCTCAAATGTGCAAGATCGGTGTTCTTTTTCTCCCTTCGAAGTCTCAACTCTTGCTTCAGAATATCAAACGAATCCTGAGCAGGTTTCTCCTTACCCCCGACAATTTTATCAAGACATTTCGTCTCGCCAGTATTGACCACGATTTCCCCAGGAGGCACTCCCGAATGCCTCCGCCCCGCCCCAGGAGAGGAAGTGATTAAATCCGGCAAATTATCCTCATTAGTCTTGAGAAGATTATCCCCATCTCTCATCCCGAGGTCAGGAAGGCCCTCACACTCATCCTCACGAATTCCCCTCGAATTGGATAATTCTAGTCCCTCGTCACTACGACTACAATTGCTATGAACATTACTACGACTACCACCATCACCACTGATACCAGAACACGTATCCTCCCCATTTTCCCTCAAAATTACCACCCCATGGTACCCATCATCCCCTGGCTCTCCAGCCCCCTCATCACCACCCTGAATCACCTGTACTTGCTCATCTCCCTCTAGAACTACCTCATTACCAGCCAAAGGCTCTACACAATGTTCCATGGACGTTAAATCGCTGGACGTTAAATCCAATGGCTGACAGTCAGTTGTTAACTTCACCTCAGTTTCGGATCCAGTCTCCGTGTCATCGGACTCCCTCGGTGGTACCTTGACCCAGACCTCCTGTTTCCTCAGCTCACGAGCCCTCGCCTCATCCTCGTCTTCAGTCGCCGTGCCACTCTCTTCGTCTACGCAATTTTTAACAAGGTGTGAAGTCGTCTACATCAGGATTACGGATTTGTCTGAATATATATACACGTGTCTTTTCTCTTCAAGTCTTACGTCTTTTTTTCGCTGGTCGCACACGCATTATCTACCTACCCTCGCTCGTATAATCATCGCTGGAGTCCTCGTACTCGTTGCTACCGGTGTCCGAATTTGCTGAGCCATGTGGATTCGTTGAATACCTCAGTGTCCAATTTTTAGCCAATTCTATGGTGCCCTCCGTCGTCAGGGGCTGATCAATGGCCTCTTCGTAGATCTCATTCTCTTCATCTGAATCACTATTTTTTTTTTTTTTTGTGAGATGAGCGTTATTTTTTCAGCAATCTCCTTAACACTCTTACTCCATGATAATTATTACTAAGTCTCTCTTTTATCAAATTATTAAGTCTCGGGTTAATCAAATACCTCATGTCAGATATATCATCGCTCGAGCCCATTTCCGCTGCTGACGCACCGAAATTACGGTCAGTCCACTCATCCTCGTCCATTTGACTGTGCGCCTCTTCGGCATCCGACATTTCCGCGAGATTCTCAAATTCAATTCTCTCCGGTGTCTGACCCCGATCCAGAAGATCCAGACCTGCTACACCGTCCAACGGTGGCTTCAGTGTCTGACTCTGCAATGACAGCTTTATTAAATTAAATTATCACTTTTTTTTCTTTAATTAATTTCCGAATACACCTGAATTAATGGTTTAATTATTAATTGGTAAATTTGGGTAATAAAATTATCTAAATAAATGAATCAATTAATTGATTCCTTTAAATGACGGAAAAATGTATTGAATTGAAATGAATAATTTTGTGGATATGGGAGTGACTGATTTAGTATGCACCATTGTCTGTGGTTTACCTTTTCCGGGATTGATTTAATTTTGCCCGGTGAGTCTGGTATGTTCTCCTTATTGAGAAGTGGCACTTTTTTCTTATCCAATCGTGTCTTCATTGTCCCAGGTTGACCAAAGTGTTGAGCGCAGTAGAAACGCCCATCGTTCTTCTCCCTGTCGAAGGTATGATTACCAATTCTGAGAGACGTAGAGCAGTATTCACATCGGAAACAGCCGCGATGAAAGAATTTACCCTCGGCGGTTAGCCTCTCCATAAGGTAAACCCTCTTATCACAGAAATGACATGTTTCAGAGCCCCCCTGAGTCGGCAGAACAATCGCAGCTTTTGAGTTTGATCTCTGGACCTTGGGCTCACTGTCCTGATTCTTATTCGCAAATTGCTCGGCCATCGCTGAGACTTTGTTGTGACCCAGGACATTTCCCTCCTTGATCTTTCGATCAATCGACTTCAGGGTATTGTCGATTTCCGTGTATTTACTGTCTGCCTCGGTTGAATCCTTTCCTCTCTTCTCCATTTTTATTTGACGTGCTAGAAATTGCTCTCTACTCCATTTTGGCACGCGTTCACGATCTTGACGCGCCCCTCTGCTCATTTTGTTCTCCTCGATTTTCTTCTCAATCTCTTTCACGTTCCAATCAGTTTTTTCAATTTTCCCTGTGAGGAATCAGGGCAGACGGAGAAAGAAAGTTTTTCATTCAATGATAAATTACTCAGTGTTAACGTGCGATAATTATCATTTTCATTTTTTAATAAACTTACCAATAGCTCGGAGCAAATCTCGGGGTTTTTTGTCTGTCGGTGGAGCTCCGCGCAATATATCCTCCATATTTTTTATTCTCCCTGAAAAATCCTCGTCCATTCCACTCCTGCATTGCAGAGCCATTTTGGGTTCCCTATCCTGGAGGGTATCAATGAAAATAAATCATCAATAACATTCGATAAATAATCTTGGCATTTGACTATCTTCGATGAGAGATAACTCAACGAATTAGCTAAATTAAAATAATGCCAATTTTTTCTGGTTATAAATAGCCACGCATTATTGTATTAGTCATTAGCTCCACAAACTAGTTGGTCAACTGAAATGAAAATTTTCACACACGAATTATGAGTAAATAGACGTGCTGAAAAAAAAAACGCCTGAGTTAACAGAAATTTACTTTCCGTTAAAAAACAAAGTAAATTAATGAAGCCTTGTTTGGTTGATTCGTACGCTTTCACACCTCGAGTTTTCTCGAACAAAAATCTTACTGGATAAAGTATTTTCTGCTCTAATTCTTTAACTCGCTCCTTGAAGTCAGCAGCTGTTTGACGATACAAATATATTGAATAATCTTCAAACGGTCCATCATCTTTTTCACGTTTAGCATTAGCCTGTAGCATCTGTAAACTCTTATAAAACTGCTGGGTCGCCATTTTTCGCAAAAATTGCCGTCTCTTCATTCGTTCAATTCGATTGTTCGCAATGTCCTCGAGTCGCTTTTGCCTTTCCTCCTTATTCCCCCAAATACATACAATCCAATTAAAAAACACATGGCATCAAACATATTTCTCTCAAATAAACTAAATAATCAAAAAAAAAAAACTACATTTGGAGTGTAAATAAAAAAAAGATAACTAACTGTTTGGGGCTGATAATTTTGACATTGAATTGGGGGAGAGATACTTCTAAAAATCAATTTCAAGGTCCAGAAATCTTGTGATGGCGAGTCCAGTGGTGAAAGCCATCATACCCAAAAAAATTCCTCGAAAAAGTCGGGGAACAATCGTCTGCTTCCATGGGGACTGAACAAGGACCGAATGCAGTTTGAAAATCACATAATTATCCACTGAAAGATCAAAATACTTACGACACTGGCCCCCATTTTTTCATTACTCCTACGCTTCCTGGATCTCCTCCCAAGGCTGCCATCAGTCTTTTTATCCCCAATCGCCTGTACATTCTCATTATTGTGTCTGGAGGTTCGTGAGTGCCTTGCCCTACCCGTTGTCTCGTGTTTAGCCAAACGTCCGATCAAGTGAGCCTTCTGCTCATTCGTCAATTGCACCAGCTTCTTATCATACACTGGCCTCTCATCCACCTCTGGCTCCTGATCCCCAAACGAAAATGGAGAGAAAAAAAAACAACCAAAAACAACATGAATTACATTCAGGGATTCAATCCACAGAGTCCAGGTTACTACTCACCAATTGCGGATGCTTAATGTGCGGTATTTCTCCACGGAAGGCCTCGTACAATAGCGTGAGGTAGGAAAACATTTCTAGTTTATCGGGTACGTCGCAATGGGCCATTTCTTCACCGCTCATTATCTACATTCAATTTTATTTCAATTGTTAGTAGATGCACGCATGAAAAAAGTTCATAGAAAAATCCATCGCTTTCTCCAAAAAAAAATTTCTATCCATAAATCCCTGTTTTTATTGAAGATCAATAGGAATTCCTTTACTATTTACAAATAATCCATCTTCATAATTAATTATCAAAAAATTCTCATAAAATTTCCATTGATTTTCAATAAAAATGAAAGTAAAAATTCTTATCAAGAGCCCAAGGATTTTTCCTTACAATATTCAATTCAATTCGCCACTGATTTCATACGTGCGATTAAATGACAACGATACGAATAACATGAATAAAATGACTCCGTAAGATGTACGAAAAATGGAATGAAGATTTAAAAAAAAAACATGCAGCTCACCGGTGCAATACCGAGCTCTTTCTCGAGTACATCAAAAGCCAGTTGATTATTCTTCTCGACTTCCTCGGACTTGAGGGAATAAAAATCGATTAAATCCGGTCGATATCTGTGAATGATAGCACATATGGCGAGTCCGTCTTTGAATGACGACGTCATATCAGTGATTTGAACAGCATCGTAGAGTGCCACCTGCTTCTGGAGCCAGTGGAGTAGAGTGTCAGGATGAATTTGTGTGTCACGACGACGTCGTTTTTTCGGTACGTCGACACTGGGCTGGGCTGGTGGCTGTTTGAGGCTCTCAGGATCGTCAGTCTCCAGAAGACCTCTCACCTGTACCGCAGACACAGACCTCGGATTCAAATTGGGATACCTGGTGTGAGGATCAAGGGTATAAGCGGCGTAATCTCGATTCAAATTCTCTGGAGTCGTTTGACCGAGTAATCTGTATATGGATTCACGTTCTGCGAGGACCTCGAGGGGTGAATGCTGGGCACTCCAACTCTTAATTGCCCAGCAGGCATCCAGAGAGCTGAGAAAGCCCCTGGCGCAGCCCGAACCCGTTGGCCAGAATGGCTCCAGCAGACTGTCACCTACTAGAGTCATGAGGAGTCTGTGTCCATATCTCTCCACGACTCTGCTCGCATTCTCAGCTGCATACATCGAGGTAAAGTCAAACATAGCGACGTCTGGTTGGCCATAATGATTAACAGCAAACTCCATGTCCATCATCTGGTACTGAGTGGAGAACTCAGCTGCCTCTCTGGCGTAGTGCATCAGGGCATCACGATCAACATTCTCCTTTGCGAGTAATTTTGCTGTGTCAGCGTGATCCTGGAGTATCACGCCCTTGTCTATGAGACTGTGCTTTTTCGCTGTCATCACGAAATAATGTGTGTCGTCTTTGTAGTAGACTATGTTCTCCAGGTCAATTCCAGTTTCTTGGTACAATTCCTTGAAAAATTTTTGATTGAAGATAAATGCAACACCACTTATCTCCTCGACTCGTGCCTCCGCCTCTGTCCGTTTATTTATAAAATTAGCTGTTATTGCGATAGCTAATTTGCCACGAAACTCTTTGCGCTTGAAGCCCTCCAGGGTATTTCTCTTGCCATCAGCACCAATTAGCACGTCGAATTCGTATTGAGAGACTGGGTGATCAGCCGGTGTAGTTTTTGTTCGCCAACCAATTTTTCCCTCGTCCTGGCTCTCCGGTGGGCCCACCAGGGACTCAAAGCTCACACCCTCGTGGAACTCTACACCGAGAATAAGGGCGACCTTTAGGAGAATGCACTGGAGTTGGCGGATGCTTATGTGATCGATTGAACCAGCGCAAAATTTTCCGAAAAATTTTTTAGCCCCTAAACCACGGAGATCCTGAATTACGAAGGGCCAGAGGTGGAGGACGTTGTTTCTGGACATTCTGTCACGCTTCTCGATTACCACGACTTTAGCCCCGAGCAGTTGTGCCTCGATCGCCGCACGTAAACCGCAGGGACCACCTCCAATTATTAGCACCTGTGAGGAGAAAATAACACTTTTCATGCAGTAGCCAAGTAGTCGAGTGCTCGTGCCAGTCACCTCGCATTTCAAATTCACAAAGATTAATCTCAAAAACCACTGATTTCAGAAGAAAACACCAAAATATCTTTTTTCCAGAAAATTCAATGACCTCCAAAAAAGATCTACTAGTATTTCCACCTCAAGTCGATAGTTCTCGAGCAAAATCGGTCATTACGTAAAAATGTTGAAATTTTCGTTGAACCTATTTGTTTTTTTTTTTTGGTCTACTCACTCTCGTATTGGGGCATGCTTTCCCTCGATTGTAACACTTGTGATTGGCCCGTTGATCAAATTTCTTCCACAATGCCTGGGCCTTCCATGATCTCAATTTCGATTTAAATTTTGGGTAAAACTGGGGGAAAGTATTGGAGCGCATGTTAAGTAGATCGCAGAGGTGTCGAAAGTGGCCGAGTATGGACTTGAGTGTTGTGGCATTGCAGAATTGATCAAAGACCTCATTTGCCATAGCAACTTCCGGCGATGCAGCAAGCTGCTTTCTGCCCCACTGATGACCATGATCCATCTTGCGTTAATTGTTCCCCCTTGTCACTGAATCGCTCTCTTCTCAATCTCGTTGATCACCTCTCACCGTGCCTCTCTCCTGAAACCATAAAATCCAGTGGATTCCTCGTTACATCGAGTGCTCCTCCAATAATTCATATCGAATACGGGAGATGTATACAATATAAAGAAAAAAAAATTCTCAGAGTTGCCTCACGCATGAACCTGCGGCGCCCTGATTATTTAGTAGATCAGTCTTGGCTGCTGCTCTCCAACAAGTGCAACCATTCGGTATGAATCTATTCCTTTTGCCTCTTGTATTGTATCTATTTTTATAATTTTAACACTCGAATAATCAACGCCGTGGATCTGATACCCCACCACATTTAATTCACTTTCATTCTCCTTGACATCATGATACTAATGATCATTTCGGATCTTCTGCTTATCTAATTGTCATTCTTTGATAACTAATGAACAGTCATTTAGTCATGCTCCCCTCTACTGTTTCCTAATGATAATCAATTTTCTGGGAATAACAACTAATCGAAATTTATCACGGCGAGAAGGAAAAAATAATTAATATCTGGAGCCGTCGTGCTGTGACATTTCGCCGCTGATTATCTACATTAAATTTGCATTTGCATTAACAATCATCAAGATTAATTTAACATTGTGAGTGGATCGGGAATGAGGGGAATCAATGGGAATGTCTATAGAAGCAATTTTTCGAAATTTCCAACCGGAATAATCAACGGCGCAGATCCCTAGTGGATGCGATCAATTCTGATTCCCTTGACACCAAGATGATAGATCGCAGAAATCAATATAGGGCATGAGAGAGAAAGAAAAAAATGAAATTGGATGCGAGCCATTATCGTGCGAAGAATACTCTGTCCCTATCCCCGAGTGTCGGGATGATACACATTGCAGGGTGCAGGGGAAGTAATCATAGGAATACATTGAGAGAAACGAGTGGCACGTTGTCTAAAAATACTCTGGTGGAGAGACCCCAAGTGGGCGACCGAGATGCAGTGATGCTGCCATCCGAAAAACTAGAGCGACATCAATTCATCCCTCAGTCATGCAGAAAAAAACAAATCACTCATAACACCTCATCAAAGAGAAAAACAAGGAATGGGAGTATAATTGAAAAGAAATTGAAGATTGATTACGATTTAACGAGTGGTTAATTGGATGGACAATGCGGAACTGTCGTTGAACCGAGCGACCAGTCAATTCCGTTGACCCCTTGGATGTTGTCTCCTCTGGGTGCAAGAATTGAGACGTCACACAACGATTGCCCCTCGGAGACAAACCTTCTTGAAAGTTGAAAGGCTTCTGTGCAAACTTATCCGCGTCAATCTATTCCTAGTGTACGCTACGCCTCGACAATCTGCGTGAGATGTACATTCAGGATGGAGTAATAAAGGGGGGGAGGGGGAAAAATAAGGAGGAAAAATTAAATACAACCTTGAATGCATGATTTTCCTTCTTTTTTTTTTCTCTTGATGCTGTGAGTTTGTTTTTTCAACGTGACTCATGGAGAAAAAAAAATTGAATGGCTGGATCTCTCTGATCACGTTCTAATTGAACGCTTCGGAGGAGAGAAAAAAACACTGATAATCTGTCCGGCGTATCTCCACGGGTGGATGAGCTTGATTAAGATTGTGTAGGCAGTATGATCCTTAGCACGCTGTGAATCATCGATGAGATTTAAAATCATGTGATGCTAAATCCGGAAGAACGTAATCACGTCAGACCACGCGCTTGCAGGAAAACCTGTCTCACTTGGAAATTGTTTTTTCCACTTGATCGATGCATCATTCCGTCCAAATGTGACAATTCAATGATTTCATTTATCCCGCGAATGATAATGGAGCGAAGACAAATTGTTGAGCGCAGAATGACTCGATCGTTTTTCCACAAGAGAATAGCATTCATTCTCATTCATTTATTCTCCTTGTAAATAACTGGGGGTCTCTCTGTCATTATGGGAAAAAATAGGAAAAAAAATGAAATGGAAAAATCGCGTACATGCGAGAGTGCGTAATTACGCTGGAGCATGCGATGCCAAGTTACCGTGAAATAAAAAGAAAAACAATGATAAATCAAGTTGCAAGATTCCCCCGCCCTGTTCATTCGCGAGAAAATTATTTTCAAATTAAATCGAATTGTTAATACTGTTGCTGTGGGATTATTTTTAGCTATTGCTATGGCAATTGTTGGAGCCCGCAATGATAGGTTTGTTGACCGCACAGTGGCCTGATTCGCAAGTTAGTAAAAAAAAATAAAAATAAACGTTGAGGGAGAAAAATGAGGAGAGGGCTGGTGAGGGCAAGTCAATAATTCTCGAAGGTGGGGTGGTTGACCGTTTGTCATTCCATCGCTGCAGGACGAGACGATTGACACGCGGTCTGACTGTCAACTAGTGAATTCTCCAGGCAAGACTGTCATTATCATTGCAAACGTGTACGACACCTCCCTTCACCCCAGGTGTCATGAATTTATGACAGACACAATGGGAAACAATTCGAGCGATAAATTCTACTCGGTCAAAATTGTGTCAAAGGACAAATAAACGGTGACAGGTGAATCCCCTCCTGGGACAATTGGTCTGAGAAATTCATTAAAACTGGATTCCAGGTTTTCTCCTGCAACACAGGAGTCTACCAACGAAAAATAATCAAATTGACAGATGATAAAATCGAGACATTAAATTTAATTTTGACTAGTGACAGTTGGCATCTCACGTATCACGTAGATAAAACTCTTTTATCACGAATTACTCACATTTCAAGTGGAAGAATCCTTGGGGCGAGGCATCGCTGAATTAACGAAGAAATACGTGGGTTAAGGCAACACAAGAGACAGTTGTAATAATTACTTATCCCTCTCACTCTCTATTTACAACTTTATTAGCCTTTCACGATTGTCTAGGTATCCGCTGTCACTGTGATAGCTATCATTTTTTCTGTACGATCAACCAGCCATACAACACAAATAAATCACACACTGTAACACCAATTGTTCCTGCCTCCTCTCTGGTGAAGAATAAAGGAGAAATAACTCGGGGACAAAAATATATACAGAAAAAGATAGAAAGTGACGACGAACTCACCACTCGTCCACCATTGCGGTATGCGTATGTAGGGAGATAGTTTATCTATTTTTTACTCTTCAACTATTTCTCTGATTCCCTCACCACTGGTGACTCAACCTCCCAAAAATCTACCTGGAGGGGGTAGTTATTGGTGAATAATGATTTTATCTGGTAATTTTGGAGAATAATGCAAGTGGAGTGGATCGAGTTTAGGCGAGCGTTGATAGTCGTCCACTCGTCTCGAACAAAACCGAGAAATAAACCGTCCTCGAGAGGTTGGGAACTCCAGTGCAAGTTGACACACGATTTTCTCTAAAAACCCCCTATGGATTGCTGGGGGCAAGACAAGGACAGCATACGAATATTTTCTACTCTCAGTGGGGGTAAAAGAAGGCGTGCCCCCTCTCTCTTTTTATTGGTAACATTGCGCCATGGAAATGCCGCACTGCAAAAGCTATTAGCATTTATTTTCTTTTAATCCATAAATCCAGTACTTTTTCAATTATTACAGAGTTGTTCAGCTTTCCGAATCATTAATTATTTTTGCATCGCCAAAATTTCGAGGATTCACAGGAATTTTTTGTCGATGAAGTTTATAAACAAACTGGCACTGCCATCTGTCATTATCTCGATCCAGCTGTTCGAGTCCTGCATTATCGATGCAGGATTTTCCCTCCAGGATGCATGCGAAATTTAAAATATCGACTTCCGGATTTTTCCAGGGGCCTGGGAAATCAATGAGAATTAATAATAAAAGATATATAAATAAATCATAAATAATAGAAATGAGATTGGGAGACAATAAAATGTCCTTGTACTTTAGATAGAATTACTGATTTATTTGTGATATAATTTCTCATGGAATGTTGTAAAGTACCCTTCGTTTCTGCATAATTTACAATAATATTCATCATACGCAACACCACAATCTGTCAATTAGCTTATGAATACATAATTAACCGATTAACAGTAACATCGTCAATATTCATTTTGTTGTATACCGAATAACACGTACGTAATTGATCGATTTTTCACTTGAAAATAAATTGCCAATATGTAAATCCTCTGGGAACATCCTCGTAGCGTCGAGGATGGCAGAGATGTTTATTGACTGAGCATTTTGTATCGAGGAACCGTAAGTTACAATTAATTCCACAATTCATTATTATCTATCGACGGATAAATTACCTCAGAGTATTGCAGTAGTTACTATCTATTTTACAACGTAATTGTGCCTGATTTGTGCTAATTTATTAATTCCGTTTTTGGCACCCTGTTTTTTAAAATATTGAATGAACCCATCTCTTCACAGTCGATTGAACGTACATATATTACGCATATGTACATAAATATCAAGTCTCATGGTCCATCAACAAACACAATATCAACATATCTGAATAATTTGATTTAACTAGTTTAATATTTAAATGTCTCAACGTATCGTAAACCCCTGATAAAATATGGAATGAATAAACTAAGAGAAGAACCTTGTCAATTCCTTCTTAAAAATCAATCCCATCTTGGGAAATAATCCGTAACATCTCGAGTATTATCAATTAGCACAATCTACTGACCTGAATGAATTCTCTCAACTCCATGAATTCCGTTGAAATTCCTAAGTACATGGAACACGTTTTAATAACTAACTATTAAACCAGTCTTGAACCTTGGAGTTACTCGGGAAGGGGCCAGTACCCCTGTGTGCAAGTACATTCGGCAAGATAATTAAGGCTACATACGTCCCCTAGCTAATATCCTATTTGCGCGTAAAACAGGATTCAAATGCATCCTCGGTAAACTGGCAGTATTAATTAATTTGGTTCTTACGGGTCGCTTAAAACCCTCATAAATTAATTAGATTTCTCATGAGCTCGTAAGTGAAATAAAATAGAAATGAAAATTCAAAAAATTAAAAATCAAACTGAAAGCAAAAAAAATTAGTCATCTCGGTGACAAAAGAGTGAACGCCAAAAATTGCAAGAAATGGGAGAACTGAAATTAATTCTCGGAAAGAAATTTTACTCGGGTTATTAAAAGTAACCACAAATTGTCGACGCTGTGGTTTCTTTGTTTAATTAGACAGTCCTGTTGATTCTGCTTTTTTATCGAATATAATTCATTCTCCCAGGGAATACCAAAAAGTTTTCCGTTTTCCTGGATGAATTTGTAATTAAAGAAAAATCTTCTCCCAATTCTCCGCCTTTAATCATACGAAAAAAAATTAACCGAGGCAAAGTGGACACCTAAACAAAATATGAGTTTACCGATAAAGAATTCTTTTCATATTCAAATAATTAGGTCATTTAATGATGAATTCATCGAATTATAAAAACAATTGAAAGATCCGTCCATTTTGCCAAAAACTTTGCAAAATTATTGCAGTGCTGAAAAATTCAATTTTGCACTGAAGAAAAATAATTTTTTCCTAATATTCAATGAGAATATTTGAGAATTCAATAAGAGGCGTGGCAAACGGAGATAAGCAGAATTACCCCCTTCGTTAGTTATCGATTTATCTAAACAACTATTGACTGTAAGGTGTAGCTGATTAAGTGCCCGACGAAAAATTTTTCTTTGAAACTTTCGCCTACAATCAATAGATTTTTAGGGCAATCGATTGTCCACAAAATTGTAATCATTTATTCCGCTCCGTTGCCTAATTAATTTTTTTCTCAGTGTGAAAAAAGAAAATTTATGCCTTATTCTCCAGATGTTTGGCCTTAGACTTCTTGCCAAGGAGCCTGCGAAAGGATGACGTCCACTTAGATCTCGTAAGAGTGACTCTCTGTGCCTCAGCCTCACTGCACGACTCACTGATCTTACGACTGCTGCCACCAGGCTCATAGGAACGTGACCTCCGATCGCCAACCTCTGATGAAAAACTACACGAAGAAAAATCAGGCTCTATTGGCGAGCTCGTTGGTGTAATCGGTGTAGGGGCAATCGATGTCATTGGATCAGGCACATACCCAGAATCCGAGGAGAAAGCACGTGACGCAGGTGGTGCACCAGAGTTTGTACTGGACAGTGAGACCTCAGCCATCGGTGTATCAGCGAATTCCTCATCCTCAGAGCTGTTGGACGAGTCATCGATGTAACTTATTCCACGGTCCATTGGTGAGCTAGTGCGCAATCCACTGGAGGAGGAAGCAGAGGGCAGGGGACCCGGTCGTAACCACGTCCGCAGATCCTGCAGAGGTGCTTGCAGACACTTGAATAATTTCCCACTGCAAGATAAACAATTTTTCCTCTTCATCACTTAAAAATTCAGTCCTCCGGTCAATCCACGCAGTCAAATATGTTTTTTTATTACTAATTCAAATTCATAATTGATCTCCTCCCACTGTATTATTAATGTATCTAAAAAAAAACCCGTTGGAAACACGAGATAATTTTTTTGTAGTTGATTAAATTTCCGACAAAAAGACAACGGTGTTGTTTTTTTTTTGATAACAGAAAGAAAAAAAGTGGCTGCATTAGCTTACTCATCGTGGTAATCGTCGGCTTCGGCGAATGTTCGTTTGGCGTACAAACAGACCGAGCATCTCCTGCGCCGACGACAGGACGTAGCATGAACTGCAGCTGCACGAAGATGACGTGCTGCATGCCTGAGAGTAGCTGCTTCATGCGTTAATACTGCTATTCCCTCCTCCCTCCTCCTCCTCTCCGCCCCCAACTCGACTTGCTCAACTCTCAGTTTTTCCTTCAGAACGACGTTCTGCGACGAATAAAAACAGAAATTAGTTTCACCTGACTTAAACGATACCGTTAAATTCTCCAATTCCGTTTTTTACCCCCCATTCTCCCATTCTCATGATGCTGCTCTTTTTTTTCTCATGCATTTACCTCGCGTTCCAGTGCATCACGTTCAGCACGAATGACGGTCGCCTGCCTGACGACATCCTGTCTCGCTCTCTCGAGGTTCCTCCTGGTTATTTCATTCTGAGTTGCTTGCAACTGTAATTGACGAAGAGCCGATGTCTGCTCTCTCTCGAGTTGCTCACGTGCTGCTATACAGGCGTCACGCTCTGCCTTGAGACGCTCAATCTCGTCGTCGAGACGTAGACTCCGTTCTAGATGCAAAAATAGTTCCTCCTCCTTGTCACGTAACTCTGTCTCCCGACCCTCCAGACGTTTCTCCAGGGCCCTCCTGCTTTCCTCCAGTCGATCTCTCTCAGCCTGACGAGGATAAAAAAAATAGAGGTTTATTTAATTATGTCATTTTATCGGTACCAAGTCTTGATCGTTCAACCAAAACCGTCTCAACCTGGGAGTGGCTTTTCTCACGGCACCACTTCCTCGTCAGCTCTCGTTCCACCGAGAAATATTTT